CTACTGTAGGGCTGGCTACGAGTAGAGAGGTGCCTCTTGGGGGGATGAGTACAGAAAACGCTCGAGCATGTATACGGCTCCGACGCAAGAGGCCTTGCAGATGGTSTGAGGGAGGATCAATACGGTAGCGTTTATAGATAGTTTAGCTCAGCACGTCCTGTGCCCCAGTAGGGGACTTTTTGGGCCTACGGCCCCCCGGACGAAAAATATACATAACATAACATAACATAGCATAGATCAAAGCGGTCGGCGACTTGGCCCCACAGCGACGGCCATTGTGCCTAGAAAACTCGTCAAGAACGCTGAGAATGACGTCAAAAGTATATAGCTTCCGGCATGTGTTGACCGAGGCCGTTGCCACATTTGGATTCGACTAGTCAAAACTTTGGACTACTTCTCGACGTTTGTACTAATCGCCGACCCCCGGTGCGAGTCAATTTGGAAACAAATACAAGGCATTCCCCTTAAAATTCGCCTTTACGACGGAGAAACTTCAAGATTCATCTGATCTGTGGGTGAGTTTGGTCCGGCATGGAGAAGCCCAAAGGTTTACACAACAGTCAGGGTCGAGATCTCATTCAGGACTTCGTTCCATCATCAAACAGCGCTGGCGATGAGGAACCGTCAAAGTCTTTATCTCACTCCACACAACCCAGTTGCCAGAATGACGCCAGCTCCAAGACTTACTCGCTTAGCGGCTCAAAAAGCTCTAGAAGGCCTGCGACGAGCATGAGTACGACCAGGACTCCCTCCCCAAGAGAGTCCGATTTGTCTAGAATCCGATCTCGGCCTGTACCTTCTTTCAGTCATCCTATAGCCCACGTCAAGACGACCGAAGATCAGCTCGTTGACTTCGACGGTCTCGACGATCCCTATCGGCCCCTGAATTGGTCTACCGAGAAGAAGGTCATCACAATCGTTCTCTATGGCCTCATCACTATGTCTGCAACTTGGGCATCGTCTTCTGACTCTTCAGGGACCGCTCAAGTTGCGGCGCATTTCCATGTCAGCAGTCAAGTAGCTACACTGGGAACTAACACTATTCCTCTTAGGTTTTGGAGTCGGACCCCTCCTCTGGGCTCCACTTAGCGAGATCTATGGGCGACGACGGGCTGTTTTCATCCCCATGTTTGTCGCCACCTGCTTCAGTTATGGAAGCGCTGGGGCGAAAGATTTCCAGACTCTCATGATCACACGCTTCTTTTCCGCTTTCTTCTCGTCAGCGCCTGTTACCAACACGGGGGTGGTTTTGGGAGACTTGTTCCTTCCTTCTGAGAGAGGATTCGCTATGGCGGCGTATGCTATGGCTGTAGTCGGTGGCCCTGTTTTAGGTATGTTATGCAACAATCTTACCTTCCAATAACTAATATCAGCTAGGTCCCATAGTGTCGTCTGCTGTTGTGCAGGAGCCGAGCCTAGGTTGGAGGTGGACCGAATATCTGACTGGAATTGTGCAGATTATCTTCTTGACGTTGGCCGTCATCTTTGTCGATGAGACTTATGCACCCACGCTTCTAATCCATAAGGCCAGACATCTACGTCGTGAAACAGGTAACTGGGCACTTCACGCAAAGTTTGAGGAGTGGGATGTGAGCATTCAAGAACTTGCAGGAAAATTCCTTGTCCGTCCAGTGCAGCTTCTGATGACGCCTATTTGCTTCCTCGTTGCCTCGTATGCAAGTTTCTGTTACGGTATCCTTTACATGCAGCCGGGGGCTATTCCCATTATCTTCCAAGAGATCAGAGGCTGGGGGTTTTGGTCTCCTCGCTTCCATTCATCTGCATTCTTCTTGGCGTCATCCTTGGATGTGGGGTGAACATCTTCAACCAATTGCTATACAATAAGGCTTATCGTGCTGCTGGAAATCGAGCTGTCCCTGAAAAGCGTCTGCCACCTATGATGATTGGCTCTTTCCTTTTCAGTGGAGGTCAGTTTCTCCTTGGGTAGACGGCGCAGAAAGATATTCACTGGGTTGTTCCCTGCATTGGCTTGGTTTTGTTGGGGACTGGCTTTTTTACCATCTTTGAAGCAGCTCTCAACTATTTGGTCGATACTTTCACCATGTACGCAGCGTCTGTTGTCGCCGCCAACACGTTTCTCCGGTCATGTTTTGCAGCTGCCTTCCCACTTGTTGTTGGGCCTATGTATCATCATATCGGGGTCGGGCCTGGCTCTAGCATCACAGGTGGCTTGGCGGCGTTGTTGATACCTGTTCCATTTGTGTTCTATTTCTATGGAAAAGGGATCCGGGCTCAGTCGAAGTGGTCAAAGGCCTCTGTATACGACTAGAGAGACCTATACTACCAACAAGAACACAAGGTGTTGTGGATGTGATCCCGTCTTGAGAACGCACGCGACATACTCTCATTCTATACTAGTCTCTTTGTGTTAGCCACCCAAGTACCCAATTTCACTCGCTTCCAGTCTGTTTATTCCATGGCTTTCGGGATCTTCCTTCTGTTGAAACTGGTTAGGCATGAGTGCCCGACTCGACAACTCGACCGTTGAGATGTTGTCAGTGCTCGCAGCCATCGATAGGCGACACGCTCCCCAATACTGGACGAAAAAGGCGTCCTCAATTCATATCGGAACTCCACTGCTGCTATACAACGGTAGGAAAGCGACGCCTTCCGAAACGAAATATGTTCATGCAGGCATTAGTGTACTAGCCCTGGACAACTGGATGCTTAAGTCGCGTTTTTCACCCTTCTTTTCGGACTCGAGCTCTCATCGATTATCTAGGCTCCAGCTGGTAACACGATCTCAAATATGAGGGGTGACGTTGCGGTCATCACCATAGCGAATATAGCATACCTATTGAACTTGAAGCATAGCGGGAACCATCAAGTAGGCAGATATAAGAAGATCGATAAGATAAGTGTGACCAATACAGTTTTCAAGGTCTCGTCCTGCTCAGAATTCTCCACCGCCTCTGCTGAGTCAGGCTTGTGATGAAACTCTATCGGTAAAGAAAGCGCACGGTTGGATGTGGCGTTCATGAGCGATTAGTGTGACAATCGTGTGATCGGAGTTTTTGTCAGAATGTTGGTCAGATGGAGGACAATACCATGAGGCATGCAACTTATGATAAGCCAGACGAAAATTTCTCGAAAGGAATTCCGCCTCGAAAGCGATGAGTTTGTCAAAACACCCGGTTAGCGAGATATTTAAACACTAAAGACTCGCGTAGCAACAAACAGACAAGAATGAAGGACCGGAATTTCCAGTCCTTACTTGTCATTACAAATGGAAGAAGTACAAAGACGCTCGGCAGATAGTTTTACCAGGCTCCCTCTTCTTGAATCCTGTTGCTCGGGCATTTGTTGTGGGTGTCCTGATCGACGAGATAACACCTTTCAGAAGCCGTCGATGCGATGACTATATCTCGGGGGCATAGACAACGACATGGAGGGGTGTAAGCCCTAAAAGGTATGTAGAGACATAATACAGCTAGAAGTGGCGGTCGTGATAAAATAAAGGGTAATAATTCAGTTATACATAGACATTTACAACATGAACTCATGAAAAAAAAAAGATAAGCAAACTGATCTGGATGCGCCGATGCGCGTCCCTTTGGATCAAAATAATCGAACAAATACGGTGATGTGCCATGTTGAATCCCGGGCACTGTCGTACTCGTGCTTTGCTTTGTTCTAAAAGTATGGATTTCCTAGACATACGGGCATTGTGGCTGCAGTGATTTGCTTGCGGGTTTCGAAAATAGTCTTCTGTTAGAAGATGTGCTTTCAGTATGTTCTGCGAATAGAAGTGCTTTCAAGCTTTTCAACATTGATCAAACGAGAGTCAACTCTTTTACACTGACTCATTCAAGGACAGTCGATGACTAATGCTAGGAGAGCTGGACAAAGCACTCGGACTCCGAAAGCCACATCTTTGTTCGTCATACGTTGGCGCCTGTCAATCACGTAATGTGTTTAGCAGAGCATGCGCGGGATTTTTCATATCTACAACTAACTTTTCAAATAGTCAATCGGTTATTAATCATTAAACAAGCAGACTACCCTGGCTGTACACGTGGGGGAGTCTGATATCATCACGTTGAGCTAATAGTCTCTCGGTGCCCGACCGTCAAGGCTTACTGCTGCTAGTTTCTATTGAGTGTGGCGTATAAACTGATGGTTGATGGAATTTAAAGCTGAAAAACAGTGGTTAATCTATGGTGTATAATGACGCTACAACAGCGCACATAGATATGGCGTGATCATACGGATATTTCTTGAAAGTCCACTTCAAGGATTATTTACTCAGTCAGGTTTAATCCCAGAGTCTAGTAAGGGCCCTATACGTAATGCATACCCATATGTGAGCCATTTTCCTGGTACACCCAGATGAATTTGTAGTAGAAAAGCATGGTAGAGGGCAATCATTTCATGATTGAACTCAAACATTTTGACTCTGACTGACTCAGCTTTAGCGGGCATAGTTAAGGGCACATACGCACAAAGGCTCTATGCGCAAAGGCAACCATCCTCAATCCGAGCGCGGGTACCAACGCAGGGCGTATTAAACATAGTCCTACGAAGGCTTTAGTCCGACTTAGTCAGTACGCAAATCAGCCGTCGGCGACGTACACTTCAAGACCGACAGACTGAGTGTGCTTCGTGTTCGGTAAATGGCGTTACCATTATAGGACAGCCTGGTCTAGAGCGTTGAGTATTCGACACTCGATAAGGCGCCGCAAGAAACCGCCGGAATCCAAACATACACACGAGTAGGGCGGGTAGGCGCGCTAGCTGCTTGAACTGTAAATCCAAAATTGAATCTTCTCTACAAGATGCAGTCAACAACAATGCTGTAAGCTCCTTGAACAGCGAGGATCGTCTTCCTGACAATAAAGTGATTCAAATATGGCTTCTTCTAGTCATTGGTAAAGCCGCGAGAATAAGCAACAGGTGCAGGGAGATAAGGCAGGCCTTAGCTTTCTATTGGAGCGCTTCGGTGGCAATGCACGGGCTTTTTATCTATTGGCATGAATTGGCGTGAGATTTAAGCTGAGGAGGTGGTTGATTTCTAAATCACCCATCAGTCACTGAGCCTGACCAATGCTGAACTAAACTTCATGAAGATGCGCCAAAAACGACCGGGTTACGTGGGAGGCATGCATCACTGTGGATGGTCATGCTGACAAGTTGCGGCCGTCACGGCCAAGCTAATGTCGAATCATCAGCTTCCAGACAAAACCTAATTTAGAAAAGGAGACGTCGAATGAACCATGTCCATCCGCTCTCTCGGGTAATCGTTGACTGGGATCTTAATCCATCCAATAGGTGACCTGTATCGCGTTTACCGATGATATACTCCTCCAGTAGCCCTCACCCCCGGACGAGACATTTGGGTGGACGACAATCCGTGCGTCTAGAATAAAGATGCTGACGGTTGTAGCCTACATCTTTGAAAACCCCATATCAGTCCCAAACATAGAATATAAATAGAGACTAGTTTTCTGAGTTCGAGTATTCGTCGGTGACAATTCCGATGTAGTGCCGTGAAATATACGGTAATATTGGACATTACACGTGGACCTTTGAATGAGATACAGAAGTCTCGGGACACACAATCACGATTTACCAGATGGTCGTCATGTTTCTATCGTAATTTTCAGCTAGACCTTGGAGTTTTCATCACTCGAATATCATAGAATCAAATATGTTTTGGACATCATGAAACTTGTGCCTGGCGGCTACTATTTATCTAATTTCCAAACTTCATTGTAGTGTTGCGGATCTAGACTAGTGCCCGTAAAGGAAGTTCCATATTGTCCTCAAGTTAAATCGACAAGCCACGGCCTGAGCGGTAGGGGAAACGTCTGCAAACATTTCCACCTCGAGCAATTTACACCACTTGCCGGCCCGATACTGCTTCGCTTGTTCCTTCAGGAGCATTGCGATCTAGCTTTCGCAAACGCTAGAAACGATTCCTCTGAGGCACAGACCCGCTGCACCTTCAGGTAGAATGGCACTGTCAGACTTGTCCACGGTACCCGCGATCACGCCCGAGTCATGGTCGCAAGGCTTTATGATGGGTTCATTTTGGATCGCCATGGCCCTGGCAAGTATGCAGAGGAAGAACATTCTACATAAGCTGATCCTGTTGGAAATTAGTATGCCAAACGTGTAGCCGAAGACTTCTGTTGACTTAAACCAGCTTTTTCTTTTTTTGGAGTGCCATCGACTTACGTATTCAACTTCTTTGGCCCTCCCGCGTGGGTGTGGTACCTTTCCTTGACCGCCATTCTCTTCACCGCGCCTTGGTCCACTCCACTGGGTCGTTGTGTCGCATGCAAATTTTACATGCTTCAACAGAGGACATGGCCGTATGTTCAACATAACCCGGCCTTTCGAGCCGTTGTCTAGGTATGGAGTACAACTCATTCTTCTCTCTAGCTATCGCTTCTCAGTCCGATAATATTATGTTAGAATGCCGATTCTAGTATATAGAGCCCTGTGGTCGACTTTCACTACGGCAGACCTTCTTTGGAACATTATATACCGCTATTCTCTGACTCTCGGCCAGATCTTGTGCTTCTCGTCTCGTTTATCCACTCTCCTTTCTGCTATGTGCCTCAGCATCGTCTTTCTCGTCTTAGAAATTCTCGCCGCGGCCCCCATCCTCTCTCTTGTCGGAACCCACCACTACTAGAAATTTGCTTCTGTATTCCAATGCCTTACAGGCACCATTATCCTTTGCAACTTCAAAAGTGCGCTGGGTGAGCTCAGCCATCACAGGACTGATATGATTGACAACGCGCCACTTGGGAGCGACCACACTGAATCCCATGATCGATGGCATGAGATGCGTCGACAACCGAGAGGTTGTATGTTCTCGAGCAAAAGAGCTGTTCTAGCTTCAATTTAGTATATTTAAAAGGTGAAGATGGCTGAGGATGAAATATTGAGTGGCCACAACGCCATAGACCTGGCGGCCCAGCCATCCATAGCATTACTCCGGGGAGGGGCTGGCACTAAGGATGCAGGAGTGATCACAAAAAACGAATGGATATGACTTGAGCCCATTACTTAGAGCTCTTCATCTTGGGCCTTTCAAGTTGTTGGCCACAACTGAACTGTTCTGAATATTATCTGTGATCAAGTAGAAGAATACTGCCGCTGCCAAAACTCGATGAAGCCACTCGAGATTGGAATGATCAGTGGAGTAACAGAGTCAGGGAGTACACCGGCAATAGATAGAGTACCGTTCCTTCAGAAGACATGGTCAGTGAATTATACCGGCTTGAGTCAGCTTCAGTTCAGGTTGGATTCGATTGTAACATTCGGGACCTTGGAATTCAGGCTCCAAAGTCTGCAGCAGCTTCGAGGTAGAAGGGAAGTGAGTGAGATCCTCAACATCGAACCCGCCGGTCTCTATCGTCCTGGTAAAGGCACGGTCCAGCATTTAGACAACCTCAATGTCACCTCAGTTGAGATCGTCAGGTACTGGAAAAGCAGCGAATCGCCACCAGGTGTAGTCCATAAAGACAAATATATGTATCATGGAGCCTGACCATTGCCCTGGCCCATCGCGTGACGGAGCAAGATGAACATCGGGTTGTTTCTCATACAAGGGCCTTGAGACTGTCCAAGTCGGCGATGATGTTGTGTGATGTTGTGCCCAGTAAGTTACTGGGGATATCGATGACACAGATTCGATAGGAAGAGATTGAGTTACAAATTGCTACTTGTTGAGGATGGGGCGGGCTGGACTTGGAATGTGCGGATGGGCGGCTTTCCTCAAACAACATGATTATTCGTTAATCAGAGGATCGAATTTCCCAGACATCACTAAGTTATTGAAAACGGGGTACTCAAAATATGTTCTTGTATAAATTAGAGTATCATGCTTGGATTGCACAAGATCCCTGTATTTTAAAATAGCTGGAACTGGCCTCGGAAAGTAGCACTCTCCGATGGGTTTTGGAAAACGTCATAACTCAGGACCAGCGGCTCGAGTTCTCGCTGACAGAGAATACACGCTATATTTCGGGTGGCCGTCTGCAAAAACAGGTTTGAAGACCACCGGTAGCCAAGCCAAGGTCGCATCAATGACACTGTTCGTAAGACATGAATAACCACAATGTTCTTGACAAAAGAGCACCTCCATTTCTTTGTATCACGTCAGTGGTGTTCAGTGTCCAGATCTTGGTCAATCTTCATGTTGTGTTCGGATATTTGGGTTACATTTAGCTCTTGTTCAAGTAATATTCACATTGTGCTCACGTGTTCACATCTTGTTCAATTTGCGTGTTGGCGTTCCTGGTCTGCCCCGAATACTGCATTTGTTTACAAGCCTCGATTTGAACACTGGCCAATTCAAGACACTGCCTGGGAGGCTGCACACCATCTGAGTACAAATACAATTGGAGGCAACTTCAGAGTGATTGAATTCACATGATCTCTTGTTGTATAGTACTCTCGTAATGAGAAGAAATGGAAGACTTGGAAGGATGCCCGATAAACACCGGTATCGTTCGTCAAGGAACTAGCTTCAAATCAGTCATGACAAAAATCCAAGTCTGCAGGCTGGCTCTCCTCTCGCCATTTGATGACATCGCATGCCCTGATTGTCCTAGTTGCTTCATCCGTATCCTTCTCGTCATCTGCCGGCGGTGACAAGATCCCCTAATCGCCTTTGCCCATTGGAAAATCTACAAACCTCCAAAAATCCTGGAATCCAAGAAGGCATTGATGCACCATCCTCTTTCGCTACTCACGCGGAGCACTTGCCCTTTCCAAACCAGCCGCACCTGACTGAGTAGGTGATTTGGGTGTTTCCCTGCATAACAGTTCGGGTGTAGTCTTTTGTTCCGCCCCGAGCATTGCGACAGACAGCACAGCGATAAACTTCATTTCCATTCCTCAAGCCAACTTCGTCATTAGCCATCCTGCCGCCGACATCGTTGCACATGCTTGCAGCCCTGAGATCCCGCCAGACATCTAGTTGACTGGTACCTGCCCATTCGTAGAAGATTCCACAGTCCTTAGCCAAGCCAAAAGCCGGCAGGAGAGTCAACATGCCAAAAGTTGCGAAACGCATGCTAGAGAGCTTAGTAAGGAGTTAGTGGGTGTTTTGGGGGAATCATTCACTAACTCTGCTAAGTCTTGGTAGTTGAAGTGTTCAGAAATATTCCGATGTGTATAGTAAGGGGACCCGTTTAAATCCACTAAGATATGTTGCCAGCATCTAATGAGAGCGAAAGTGTAAAAGATTCAGGACGACAGGATCCTATTTAATAGCCTTTGACTTTGCCTAGGATCGAGCCCCGAGTGAGTCGTTAAATATAAAATTACAATTCGTACCAAAGGGGCCCGAGCTTTGTATCGCTACGATTAGAAGGCTCGAGCGCTTAGGGACGCCTATGAAGGAGGGCCTACTACTAGACTTTGTGTTTCTTTCCCCTCTACATATGGCCTAGGATGGCAGGAATAACCCACCAGCAAAGAAACGCGTTCACATAGCATCGGCGGGAGTCAACAGACCTTTGGGATATAGACTCTAAATAGATTCTACCACTGGACAGACACGAGGGATTATTCTAAACTATTACATTTTGCCTGATCAAAACTTCATGGCATGGCGTTGTAAATCAGTCACCGCTTCTACCGGTCTCGGCTCTGCCGGGTCTCACCCCAATCGAATGGCAATACAAAAGTCCCACCAGCGCTAGCGCACGGAGCAGCAAACTGCCCCGGTCCCTCGACCTAGCTCGACGATGAAAGTTTATGTTTACACCGCCTTTTGTTTCATTACGAATCTGGAGCCCGAAGAGACATTTTTGATTAGAAAGCCCAGCAGCAAAGTTCAAGTCCGTACGTAGTGCAAAAGCATTTGCGTGACTCACCGTTTAACCCATGTGCTCTTGCGCTTGGGATTCTGTCAGACATTACGTGTATTCGGTTCATTGATGTAAAATTTGTGTATTCATGTTATGTTCTGTCAAGAATCTGTTCCCTGAGCGCGTCGCCATTTTGGCGCGTAATCTGAAGCATCCCTGCGTGCACGTGATATCCTAGCACCTATTCAACAGATTCCCGGCTACGCTACAATGAGAGCCGCGGGGTCTGATTTTGAAGCCAAGAGCTGCGATATGTCTGAATGTTCTTTTTTTGTCTTCTTCTTTCTAATTCATCTGGTAACGCAAAATGGAGCCTACCGACCATTCCCATGTGTCCTGTTCCATCGGATTACTTTAGGATCTCCACCCCCAAGGAAAAACATGGTTTCAGTCTTAACCTTTTGGTTTGTTTCAGCTCGTTTCGTCTTCGCCTGTTTTTAATCTTGTTCCCTGGTCTTGCTTTACGCTAATCTTTGCGCATTCTGCACTTGTACAGTGATGAACAGTCGTAGCTTCCTCTTTTACAGAACTTGTACATTCTCTTCGTGTCTCCGCACAGTGCCAGTAGTTTCTTTACGTAAACTGCATACTTCTGCATGGATGCTAATGAACATCCGGCTTAAACTTAATCCGCCTTCCGATGATGAGTCACTAGGCCCGTTGACCTTGACGCTAGGAAGGGGCAAACTTGGACTCTGCAACCCTCCGCTCATGGCACCTCGATTGTCGAAAATCCAACGGACCCAGCTCGAGAATGTCTTCATCAGTAAGTTACAAGGTGAAGAGATCATTACGGACGAAGCAATAGCCCAAATGATCGGCCGATGTACTGCACAAACTGTTCGCAATGCACGATTTAACATGCTCAAATATGGCACAATCTACGCTCCTCGTCGGGCAGTCGCCTGGCCTGGGGACGTGACAGAAAATATGTGGCTCGCCTTATAGGATCGACTAAACCGCCATCCGTGCATGACCCAGCAAGATATGGCTGATTTCATCAATAAAAAGTATCATGTCAACCTGTCCAGAGTTACCATTGATAGGATGTTGAAATGCGTCGGCTAGACTACGAAGGTGGCGCAGAGTATCGTAAAAGAGCAAAACTAAGATCTACGTGACGATTATATTGAAAGACGATCCCATCATGACCCTGCACAAATGATGTTTATCGATGCAAGCGGTAGTGATCGCGGATTGGCGATAATGGAACGAGGTTACGCCCCTAAAGGAGTAACCACGATCCAGTTCAAGCGATTCCATCGCGGAAAGAGAGTGCAGATGTTGCCAGCCTACACCCTGGATGGTGTCATATATTGCAAGGTGTACCATGAGAATACAGATACCGAGTTGTTCCAGGGGTCCTTGAACGGTTACTGCCCTTCTGTGACAGATACCCAGAGCCCAAATCTGTCGTATTTATGGATAACGCCTCATTTCACGCAATGACCAAAGCCTCAAGGAAAGGTTTACCGCGGCGGGTGTGATAATAGAAAAGTAACCACCGTATTTTCCCGATCTCAATCCTATCGAATATCTATTCGGCTCTGTCAAAAACCGCATTCGGAAGAGACCTTATGTTATGTTATGTTATGTTATGTTATGTTATGT